ACAGACTGGTGGAAGGCAAGGAGATATACTTTCTCTCCCATGAAAAGGGAAGGGCACTTACTGATAACAAGCAAATGTAGGGAATCTCCTTTCAATGGACAGATCCAGATAAAGCGGATCACGCTGTTACTTTTTGTCCTGCACGAGATCCTTGAGAGTTCTACTTACCATGTGAGTAAAGAGTCTGCTACTTCTCATACTTACTTTAAGTGAGTCTTGCAACTCAACAACTGATACTGGATCGTCCTCTTCTTCATTGTCACTCCACTGTTCTTGAGTACAGTAGTGTGTGCTATATGCTGAATGGTCTTCAATAGCCTGCACCCAGTTCTGGAAAACAGAAAGAGGTCAGAAAAGAAGAAACCAGACATCTTTACTACTGTTTAATATGCAGCACGCTAAACTGAAAATGAAATCAGACCCTATTCAGCCTACAGTGGGCAACAGACAACTAAAAGGAGTTTGCGAGGAGTCAAAGAACAGTGAACAACAAAAGAGAGCTGGGTTGTTCAGAAATGGCTTTGTTTCTAATCTTAAGAAAAGCTCTATTGGCTTAGGCCAAAGATCCATCTACTCCAGCCAGATACTTCATGGAAGCCATCAGGCAGGAAATGAACAGAGCTGCCTCCGCCGCCACTGTCCCCCACCAACTGGTGTTTGGATTTGCAATATATCAGAAAATGTGTGATACATCTAGCCATTATGACTACTTGTCATGAATAAAACTATCCTCCTTGATTTTGTCTATTTCATCTTAAATACTAACATCTAAGGTATTAGTATATCTTAAGGCAGTGAATGCCATAAGTGAATTATGGGTTGTGTGAAGCAGCATTTATTTTTGTCTGTCTAGACTCCTGAGGTCTTAGAGTAAAAGAGGAGATGTCCAAGCACATGGTAGATACTTCTTAATTAAAAATGTGCATCTTGAACAGTCTTATGCTCTTGAATATATTCACTTGTAAAGACTGATTTCCTGGTTTCCCTTGTAAAGACTTGCTCCTCATAGCCATTTTCTAAAAAGTCTGTTTTGATTACACATGCAGCAATGGTGCATCATGGGATGTACTAAACTGTCAGCCTTCCTTAATTGACACAAATGAAATTAAGAACACAAGGAGAGGAAGAGTTTGAAGAGTAAATTTAGGCTATTGCCTTACTTCTAGTCAATTCCACTTCTGTTATTTCTAGCGCTGCACAGTAAGTAAAGATATTTAGTACTGAGAGATGGTTCCTGATTAGCCACACAGTGGCTTGGTTCAGGCATAATCCCGTACCGCAGTTTGGTGCTAGATGACAAGTTTGGGGGTGTCTTAGGTTTGCACATTCTCCTTTCTCCTCACACACCATAAATTATATACTTTGTGTTTCTGGTAATCCATAGCCTCACATTTCATTTTACTAGCAAACTCTGGGTTTGTGCTTTTCTCCAAGCTAGGCCTGCAATCCATCATTTTTTCCTGCCAGTTCAAATGAAACATCAATCTTAAAAGTTTGTCAGAAACCAGGAAATAAACAATTCACTCATAGCATGTAAAGTAAGGAGGGGTGTGAGTCTTAAAGACATATAAAGGCTTGTTCACTTAGTGCCAAACCCTACATTTTGATGCTGCATCTCAACCAACCTGTAGATAATGATTTTGCCCCAGACTTGAGCCTGCAAGCTACTAGATATTAATTAAATAGAAGCTTACCTCTCTTGATTGTTGAGGATTGGTCTTGGGGACTTTAAAACTGTGAACTGTATTATCAAAGCACTTGATAGAGAATAGACAACCATCTGCACTTTTTACCTATGGTAAAGATCAAAGACAGCAATTTGCCGCTGAGTAATGCTTCATATAAATTAATCTGCTAAAATGATTTGAATTGCAGATGTTTAATTCTATGGCTATTTATTCTAACATCTCTTGAATCCATTACTGTAAGGGTAAAAGATAATATAAAAATGAAACTTTAAAAATATAATAAAAATCAACAACTTAAATATGTTTGTTACTTGATTGGTGTCCATGAACTGAGATGCTATATATCTAAATCATAACATTTGTTTTGTGGCAATTAGCTTTCCCATCATTATTATTCCTGTATGCTACATCAACAAGAAATCACAACCACCCTGGGAAAATAAAACTCAAAAATTTGCAGCATGAGAGATTGTTTCAGAGCTATTACCAAAAAAAAATCATATATGTAGAACTTTATATGCTCAAGAATGGCTAAACAATTTGTTTAAGTCCCTGTGCTGCAGGAGTTAGGTTAGGAGGTTCCAGGTAGGTTTCTTAGTTTGCTTCCACATGGCAACAATTTCCTGTTGTGGTCTTATTACAATGCAAATTCAGACACATTTGCAGCAGCAATGGAGCATCCCCATATGGGGCTCCTCAGTGATATTCCCTCATGTCTGCTATTTCCTCCCCCCTTGCTGGAATGCTGTTTGCCTGCCAAAAAAAAGGGGGGGATAGTACACATATGGCTATAATGGTCCAATGCTACAGCAATATACCAACTACCAATTTTTTAAAAGGCTAGCAAATAGTCCGCTGCTGGTGGAAAATGGCAGAAGAAGTTGGCAGGGAGGTCTGATGATCTTGACTTGCCCTGTCCATGTGGTAGGTGACAAACCTGCTATGAGTACAGGCACCTGCTATGCAGTTCAAGAAATGCATCAAAGCCAGGGAAAATCTGGATGATGGACAAGTGCACAACAATGCCGGGCAAAACCAAAAACCCTGCTGCAGTTTGGTTTGCTGCAGTTTGGTTTGTCTGTGTGTCTGCAGACCAAAACCTCAGTTTGGAAGAAACTTTAGAGTTCTTCATTTAAGCTCAAGTATTTTCATCCATTTTTTCATATACAACACGAATTTCAGAATCCTTGAATTTGCTTACTGTGCAAATGGCTTGTGTTAAGTGCTTGCATCCTTGACGGCGGTTACGATTTCCTATATCAACCCTGTAAAAGAGAGAACAAGAAATTAATAATATTATCAATATCACAGCAATCAAGAATAGTGGTTAATTTCAGACTTACTGTTTTTGGTACCAGGACAGGACTCCATGTTCCAGTACTACCCAATAAGGTTTCCAGCCAAAAAATCTTGAGCTCTGTAAACATAGTAGTAGTAGTAGTAGTAGTAGTAGTAGTAGTAGTAGTAGTAGTAGTAGTGAATAATCTTGACATCATGTACTAGCTTTTTATAAAATCAATTTAGTCCATATCATTATGTTTAAACAATGCAATATGCAGAATACGTCTCACTCAAAATTTAAAAAAAATATTTCATATTGGGGAAAAATCCTTTCTAAAGGCCACTAGGATAGGAGCACATCATTATTACTATGCCCAATAGAAACAAGGGAATTTGGTCAGTTCAAGTACCCTCAGAGTTTAAAAGCATCCTTGAGTGAGATTTGGGAAAGGGCGAGTATTTATTAATAGCTTGTCTCTCTCTACAATTCCTTGTGAGCCATGAGTATTCCCTCTCTTAGCAACTCAACCATGAAGTTTACTTATCATAAAGCAGCAAGAGAGGCCCACTCACAAACAGTGTAAGATTTTCTATATATTTAGAGAATTCCCTAGGGATGCAGAAAAAAAACATTTTCAAAGTAAGACATCTCTGCCCCAAACAATAATGAAGACAGCATACATACACTGCCCTCAAGTCATTAAGAACAGGAAGATGGGATTATTAACTAATAGATAGTATGATATATTTTGGGATTTACTGTAGTATTAAAGAAATATTATAGCTCAAAGTTATGCAAATAAAGACAACAAGGAGAAAAGGTTTATGCACCTTCCATAGTAGACCTTCATATCGTTTCAGAGGTTTGTTGATCACCTATAAAAAATTGAGATATTAAAACACAAGACTTTTCTCATGAACAGTAGTTTTAATACATGATCTTTTATTCCCACCTTCCCAATTCCCCCTTCAAGTAGGTGTTTCATTTCTGCTCCTTGAGCCAAATCCAAGGGTGTCTGACCTGTTTGACAAAGAAGATACGAATATATTTCAGCAGATCTGATTCAAAAATACATCTGGTGACAACAATAGCACAATAAATTTTATGCTGCATAGAGCTAAGTCTGGCTCTTACAACAGCAACAAGCAGGGCTGCTCTTCGGATTGAGTCATTAATGAAACCTCTACTAGTCTTTGACCTTTCCTCCTGGCCTTTCACCTTTTACAAATTAGCATGGTTCCAAAATACTCTATCAACATAGTCATGTCTAACCTTGCGGGTGTAGGAAAATGAAATGGGTTTGTTAATTCAAACAGGTAACCAATAGTACTTTCATCAAGATCGAGCATGTATTTAATTCAAGTAGTTCAACGGGGAGGGAAGAATGGTAAGAACATACTGCCAGTTGTAACACTTGTTTTCTTTTCTGTTTCCAAGTATAAGGCTTGGTCATGGCCCGCTGCTCAGGCCTTTTGGCAAAAGCCAAAGGGCTCCTGGCCTTTGACTCTTAGCATGTGGCCTGTGCCTTGGTTGGCTCATTGGTTCCACTGTACCCAATGAGGTTTACTTGCAGGTAAATGTGCACATGGCTACACTGTTTGGCTCTGTCTGCATGTGCATCTACTTACAATGTAAATCCTGCTTAAAATTCTGCAATACAAAGACTGTGTACTAATTATACTGCTGCCCATCTGGATCTAACCATACTTCTGTGATGCTGAAGAACTGAAGGCTCAGCTTCATGAAAATATCTTAAAAGAAATATTACTTATCTGCTTTTCACATGAAAGAGATAATCTGAATTCATTAAATGAAGCTGTGCAACTTACCATTTTTATTTTTTATTTTGGGGTCTGCTCCAGCTTTGAGTAGTTTCAAAGCACAGTGCTTGTGGGCCCGATATGCTGCACAATGCAGTGGTGTGTTTCCCATCTGATCTATACAGTTAATGTCAGGAGGCTTTGGCCTGTTTAACTAGAGAGTTACCAAAAGGTCATTTATCATGCTTACATATCCATGCAATTCTTTCCTTAAAGTTCTCAGGCAGTCTATTCAGATTATAGAGTAGTATTCCCCCAAGCTATTCTACCTAGTTGGAAACTTTCTCCACCCCTTTCCCCATTTATTTAAATTTAAAAGAGAAATTTAATCAGTATTGAGCCAGATGTTGCCCTCCACCATGATAATGGTAGCTTGGAGGGAGTATGTCATCTCTATCAGAGAATCAGCACCAGGCAAAGAATAGTTTTAAGCTCCCCCTTCCCCCAGTGCTACTGCCCTGATCTGAATGGATACTCATCAGGTATTTTTTCGTATTTCAAAAACAAACAAATATAATAAAAATAAGTAGATCTGACAATAAATCTCCTATATTCCCCCAAACCGGCTGGCAACCTGTCTCATTTTTCATGCTTCTTCCACCATCCCACTTTCTTTTATTTTCCAGGCTTTTCTACCCCCATTCTCTCATTACAGGCTTTTGTTTACTTCTAGGGTTCCCATCTTCCAGGTGGTGGCTGGAGATCTCCTGGCCTCCTGCTATTACAACCGATCTCCAGGCGACAGAGATCAGTTCACCTGGAGAAAATAGCTGCTTTGCAAGGCAAACTCTATAACATTATACCCCATAAAAGTTCCTCCACTCCCCAAACCCTGCCCTCCTCAGGTTTCATCCCCCAAATCTCCACATATATCCCAACTCAGAGCTGGCAACCCTATCTACCTCCCAGTTTCCTGTCTCTCTTTCCGCCTAATTTTCTATCCCCCAATTTTTCACCCTCACTCTCCCAGGCTCCCACCCCCCAGTTTTCCAGTTTTCTCTCTCTCTATACTTACTTCTCCACCCATTATTTTCTTCTTTCTCTGTCTTTTCCAGATTTCCCTCCCTCCCATTTTGCTCCTTCCCTTTTTCCGTCCAGTATTTTCTCTCTGAAGTTTGTCTTTCTCTCTTTTTTCCAGGCTTCCCCACCACATTTTCTACTCTTTCTTTCTTCAAAGCCTTTTTACCACCCCATTTCCTCCCACCTCTGTTTTCCAGGCTCCCCCCTCCATTTTCTACACTGTTTGTCTTCCTATCCTTTTCTCAACTTCTCCTCACTTCTCACTTTTTGTTCCTGTCCCATCCAATGATGCTAGGACAGCCATAGCCCAATGTTCTAGTGCCTCGGTTGTTTGTAGAGCTGCCAGCTCCAGGTTGAGAAATACCTGAAAATCTAGGGGTGGAGCCTGAGGAGGGCAGAGTTTGGGGAGAGGAGGGGCTTCAGTGGGGTATAATGCCATGGAGTCCACCTTCCAAAGCAGCCATTTTCTCTGGATGAACTTATCTCTATTGCCTGGAGGTCGGCTGTAATATCAGGATATCTCCAGCCACCATGTGGAGGTTGGCAACCCTTGTTGTTAGGCAGTGCTGCAATGGTGGCTGGTCTTGCAAGATTTCACAACAAATCCATTGGTATTGTCCACTTTGGCGGGGAAATTACAACCTCTGACTTTTTAAAATATTTTGTATTCTTCTGCAAGCCCAGGGATTCCACCCACATAAGGTCTTTAAGACCATGTCCCATACTCAGTATATGGACTTTATACTACGGATTTTTATCCACATTTTTGCCATGTTCAGAATCAAATATAAGAAGTGAGCTTAGAGGGAACACTGGTGGGAACCCACAAGGACTTCCAGGGGGGTCACATTTTCCTCTTTGCCACTACTACTTTCCCTTCCATGAAAGGCCCCATAACCTCTCCCCTTTCCCTGCTTCTTTCTCTCCCCCCTCCCACTCACCAATCAACCTTTCTTCTACCTGCCCCCTTATTTTTGGACAGCACTGGCTGATGAGCAACGCCCCCTAGAGTCAGATTCAACTAGCTTTCGAGCAAGGGAAACCTTTACCTTACTTTTACTCCCAGATCCTAGTTTGACACTCTAACCACTACATCACACTGGTTCTCAGCTTTCTCCCCCTTCCCTTCCCTTCCCCCTCAGCCTCTTTCTGGGAAAAGTCCAGCCAAGTTGCAAAGGTTGTGCAGTAGCAAGTTGTTCAGGTGAGATCTATGGTGGCCACAGCTGGGCCCCGCTGAGTTGTGCAGAACTGCCTCTGGGCCCAGGCAAGCTGTGCAGCATCAAACCATCCAGTAGCCACCACTGCATCCGGATCAGTTGTACAAATTGGTAGCAAGTTGCCTAGTAGTTGCTACTGGGTCTGCTCCTAATGAGTTCTTCCTTAAGGGCAGGATGGAAGGGAAGAGGGGTGGACTGAGAAACCAAAACAGCCCTGGAAAGGGCTCTCCTCCTGTCTTTTACTGACAGAAACCAAGGCTTCAAGGCTGGCAATATTGTTCTGTGGCTTTTTTTTAGCTCCCTAGCATCTTTTTTTAAATTTCAGGTTTTCTTTTTTTTGCAGACTTGGGTTTTTTCTACAGTGTGTATAAAGATCTGTTTCATCTTTTTATGGCACCAGTCTCTGGATTTAAATATCCACACATTGGGCCTTGTTGAGAATTAGATATACTGATGATGCATACCAGTTCTGTGAGCTTTCCAGTCTCGCCTTCCCTTGCAGCTCCTAAGAGGACTTCCTCGAGTTTTCTTTCTTGGGTTCTTTCCACAGCTGGTTTCAAAATACAAACATCTGATCAAAATAATATTCCTCAAAAAAAAGTGTTTCCTTTAGCAGACAGCTTTAATAAAACAGTGGCATTTCGTAAGTTTCCCCTCAAACCAGCTACTAAAGAGTTAACAGTATTCATCTGAACCAGCTAATAAAGAATTAACAGTATTCATCTGAACTTCCAGAATAACATATGCTAAGACTTGGTGATAGAATACACATATTACATGTGTAAGGTTCCAGGTTCAGTATCTACTTATAGAATCTTATGTAACAGAACCGGAAAAAGTTTTGTGCCAAGGTCATATTGTACCTTTGGTTGTGTGGAAGGGTAACCTGCACAAGATCTACTTTCATGTCCACAATTAAGGAAATATGCCCTGGTGAGGCAGAGCACTATAATTTCCCTAAAGGGTTAATGTGAATATTAGAAGGCTTACTCTGCTCACAGGTGTTCATGATTTGAGCCTTCCTGCAACTATGTTTATTATCTCCTTCAAGGCTGGAGGCAGGAATGTGGTAATTAAGCCCAATCGTGAGAAATTGTGCTCAGCTGTGTAACTGGAGTGGGGGGGAATTAGGAGCCATTGCCAACATCCTCTGGAAGTTTCTTCAGAAGAAGATCCCTGATTGGACCAGAGAGACCACCAAATGCCATAGAGTAGAAAGCTATAATAAGGGTATATGACAGAGATAATTATGCTAACACCATGCTAGTATGCTATGCTTCATCATGATGGACTGCAATTATATAGAATGCTTTTACGCTACTGCATGGATTTTATGCTGCAAAAGATTTGCCATCTAATACCAAGGTATTCAACGTATTAGATAGAAAGTTAGCTTCTTTGTTGTTGCTACAGAGACTGTATTGCATAGTCAGTTCTTTTAACAGTTTAATAAACCTTTATATGTTTTACATGGTCTGATTTTCTTGTGTGCATCCAACCTCGAGGACCCACAGGTCTGGGAAGTTATTCAGGGGTTCCACACAAGAGACCAGGAGCAATAGCCCAGGGGGACCCAGGCTCGGATCTCTGACAGCCCATTTGTGCTCAACATATGTAAACAATTCCATCTAGATCTATACAGCATGAACCAGCCATATCATGCAGACTCAAGTAATCATAATTAGCATCTAACACTACAAGCAGAGAAATACTATGGCAAACCTGGAAAAAACTTCTCCTAAAAGCTGATTCATGCTAATATAACTCCTTGATTAGACTGCTGTAATTAATTGTATGTGGGGCTTCTCTTAAAGACAACCCAGAAACATCAGCCAGTGCAAAATGCAGCTATATGTCTCTAAAAGACAGTAAAGTAGGTGCCAAGTGAGCCTCAAAGGAGAGGGTATTCTAAAGGCGAAGTGCCACCACACACACACAAAAGCCCTGTCTTTAGTTGCCATCCACCTCACTTCTGAAAACAGTAACACAGAGAGCAGGGCTTGAGAGGCAGCTCTTAACTGGCTGGCTGGACAGTATGGAAAGGGCTGGTCCTTCATGTACCCTGGCCCCAAGCTGTTTAGGTCCAAAGAACTCTGAACTGTGCCCAGAAACAGATAATGTGAAGACATTTCAGCACAGTGGTGATATGATCCCTGTAACCAACTCTTGATCATAGCCTGGCCTTGAATTTTTCAGATTGTTTTTGAAGGTAGCCCCATGTAGACAGAGTTATAGTAATCTAACCTGGATGTGATCAGGACCTGAATCACTGTGGTCAAAACATTCTTCTTAATCACAATTCTATGTTTCATTATTTCCCTCCCCAAAACATACTTTAGATGAATTAAACATACCTTCCTTATACTAACATTTTCTCTATAAAATAAGTTTTGAGGCAACTGTTCTGCTCAGAAGCAGAAATTTGAAGCCTAATCTAAACAAGACAGCAGGCTCACACACAATACACACACACACACAAGGTATCAATGCACCAATCAGCTTGCTCATCACAACATTCAGACCCCAGCTGTTAGCCCCCTGTTAAAACAGGACTGCGTGCCTGTTGCTTTCTCATAATATCAGAGTTAAGACTACTCTATCAGCCACAATGTTGTGCTCCCTTACTTTCTAACAAAGCCATCCAATTATATAACTTTGCACTTGGGAAGTTTCACTGCTGTTGAATTAAAAAATTCAGGCTTGCTTATTCAAAGCAGCAGAAACATGGATCCACTTAAAGGTACATCCACAAAATGATCATCCGGTGTGCAGAGATTTACCATGCAGAATAGCCTTTGCTAAACATTATTCTGATACAGGTGAACTTCATATAACAAAGTTTTTCTAGAGTTACATGGACAAACTTTGTAGCAGGAAGTAATCCTCATGGCAACCAGGACAGATGGGTTTAAGCAATCTATACAGTGCTCATTACTGGCAAGAAGAAATCATCTCAGCCATTCACTTACGGACACAAGAGTTCACCATAATGAGACTGAGCCAGACACGGCCCCTGCAAGGCACCTTTACTAGATTTTCAGTCCCAACTATCCAAAGTTCATACATTGCACAGAACAGATACCTTCTAGCATCTCTCTTATTTCTTTGTTATGTGTAACATCTTTTGCAGTTTGCCCATTCCCATTAACAATGGAAGTATCAGCATCATATTCCAAAAGCAGCATAGCCACCTCCTGAAACAGAAATTCAGTACCATTATAGGGTAACTTGTTGATACTCTGAAACAGAGATCTTTTTTTGCTTTCAGTCAGTTTGAAAGTTCATATCTTTGCAATTTGTATCCTGGAAATGAATGCCACATAAAAATTAACCAGAACTCAAAAAGTTTTACAGGGAAACCCACAGCATTATATTTTATACATGCAATCATCAAATGATGTCCCCAATGACTAAGAACAAATGAGAACAACAACTGCATATCTCTGAAACAAGCCTTCTTCCAAGAAAATTCAGTGATATTGCTAAAAGTGAGTGTATGCAGAATTTGCACACAAGAGTCTATACATTAAGACTAAATATTAATATACTTCTTCATGAGTAATAGGTTATCACACTTTAACGTTTTTAATATGTAATTACTAATTAACCTATATACATACACACATCTCCTAGGCGCACATGAATAAGGTTCATTAATAGTTTGCATTATCATAAGAAATATTTATTTTTTCTTTTCCAGAAGAAATATGCAGAAATATTACAATAAAATAACCACCATAAAGTTACAATATAAACCATTAAAAGACCTTTCACGGAAGACATCCTTGGGCCAATTCACAGAGAACTTTGCTTATACACAAGAAGCCTCAATTGTCCCTAGTCATGTACGTGCCCACTACCATGCAGAAAATATCAGATCTTATATAGATACTGTTATAGCAGATTTTTGTAGCACATTTTTTCTGTTGCTACAGTTTAGATACAGCCAGGAGTATCTCATTGCCACATGGTTCACACTGATGTTTGTCTACCCAGGATTGTTTCCGGAGACAGTGCTGGCTGATTATGTGTAGGAGAAAGTCCTATGTAAAATAGCTTGTTAATCCATATAAATAATAAAGAAAGCATGGTCTCTGGATATAATCATTACTTTACAAAGCTGAGTAAATTGGAAGCTCCTCTGTTTGTTCTGGAAACATTTGTTCCAGCAATGGACAGTATGTCTGCACCACACTATGTTTCCTATAATCATCAAGAATAACAAGAGGAGTCGGTGCCACCTGTATGTAATTCTGTGTCACTGACTGACCAATTAATTAGTACTGTATGTCATGGTTTCTTTATATGAAAGCTAGAATCTCACTGGAGAGACAGAGATTAACTTTGTGATAATTTGGACAACTGTCCCATGAAGTCCCACATTCCAGCTGTTGTTGCAGTGCTCTGGCATTATCAGGCTTTCCCCCCACTTTTGCACATATCCACAGTTCATAGGCGTAAACTTCGTGGGGGCGGCGGGGCTTCAGCCCCCGCCGAAATTTTCAGGAAGGTACTCAGCCTCCCCCGGGAGCCACCCTTGCTCCTAGCAAAGCAATGCCTCTGGCCCAGCCCCAGCCCCCCCCGGGAAATTGGAAAGTCTACACCCTTGCCACAGTTACCAGATATTCGGCTAAGTTTTCAGGAGCAGGTTTTTTTTTCTGGCCCTGCACAACTTCAGTGACTTCAGCATCTCAGGGAAATCTCAAGATTTCCCTTTCTTCCCTCTTAGGGCATATCAAATCAGTGTTCATAGTTTGGCATTTGCACACAGTCCACTAGTTCAAGGATCTCATTGCTCTGAAGGCATTGCTATGCTTGGTTCATACAATTAAAGAAACATGGTTAGGCACACAGCAAAGTATATATGCTTAATATGACACACTTTTACCTTGCGTCCAGTGAAAGCTGCACGATGCAATGGAGTGTCTCCCATGTCATTTAGCACATTTACTTCAGCACCAGCCTGTAAAGACAAGACAAGACTTAGTTGCATTTGTATTCTTGTCAATCAATATCACAAAATATGACTTTGAGGTATGATTTCAAGCCTCTTAGAAAGCACTGTTAAAATTAGGTAGGCCTTTTAGGATTCTAAATGGTTACAGTCTATAAACCTGCAATGATTTGTTTACCTTTGGTAGGAGGTCTAGATTCTATACTTGAAAGACAAACTGTATATTCTGCTTACCTCCACATGGGATTATATTTTTAATGAATGCATTGTTAAAGGGTAAGACTGCAGATAAGAAAGTTCTCAAAAGTAAATTTGGCCAGCACATCTTCTGAAAATTCTACCTTTATTCACAAAGCAGCTTCCAGAACAAAAGAAAAACTGGAGCATATACTTGATCCATACAGCAGTCTCCTTTTCAAAAAGTTGAAATACAAAGTCATCTGGATCAATCATTCCTTCCTAACATAATTTTGCTGTGTCTCTGGCCAAGTGCAAGCTAATTTGTTCTTGAACAGAGTGCTAGGCTTTCTTTTTGCCTCTGAAGTGTGGAAAACAGTCGACTGCATCATAGCTTTTAATCTAGTTTGTTCAGCTTGGCTCCAGCTCAGCCTCTTTCTTCAAATGGGTTACAAAGAGATCAGAACAAGCTAAACATGCAGCACTAAATGGGATTATGTGGTTTAACAATTACCTAGCTGTACAGAATTCACAACTGAGAGTCAGGACACCCTGAACACTTTTGACGACCCAAGAACCTTTAGGTCATTAATTTCAACTTCTTTAGAGTCCATTCCTTATTTTTCAGACACATAAATAGCTTATCTAGCAACAGCTGGGAATAATGATGAAACACATGTAGCAGAACAATCAATTGGGATCAAATTGTGAGGGCTTATTTCACCCCCCCCATTGGGCTTCTTTGGCCAAATCACCCTCACCTCTTTGCACTTCTCTGATATCAAATTTGACCAGATCTCCGCTCCATTGTTACATTTCCACCAATTGTTGGAAGGCACATGTTAAGACCTTATCTGTGACTTCATGTGCTGATAATATCCTTACCCAAACGGCTCATACTCTGGTGGTTGAGAAATGGCCCTTAATCACAGCATCAGAAATTAAATCTTTACTAACTGAAATGAAATCTGGCACGGCTCCTGGACCTGACCTGATACTGGCAGAGCTTTTCAAAGCAAATGTTGACTGGTGGGTGGAGATATTGGCACCAATATTCACACAAATCAACGAGACAGGAGACAGGGATTATGCCTACCTCTTGGCACCATGCAATAATAGTTCCCATCTACAAAAAGGTGATCCCACTGACCCAAACAATTACCGGCCGGTAAGTTTACTATCAGTGGTGGGCAAACTATACGCTTCTTTGCTTCATAAGAAGCTACTTCTTTGGAAGGAAGATGAAGCCATATTGGGTCAAGAGCAAGCTGGATTCCGTAGAGGTGCCAGTGCAGTTGACCAATGCTTCTTTCTTTCCTTCTCTCCTTTTCCTTTTTCCCTCCTTTCGTTCTCTCCTTTTCCTCTTTCTTTCTTTCTTTCTTTCTTTCTTTCTTTCTTTCTTTCTTTCTTTCCCTTCTTCTTTCTGTTTCTCCTCCTTTCTTCCCTTCTCTCTTTCTTTCCCTTCTTCTTTCCTTCTCTTTCTTTCCCTCTTTCCTTCTCTCTTTTTATCCCCTCTTTCCTTCCTTCTTTCCTTCTCTTTACTCTCTCTCTTTCCTTCCCTCTTTCCTCCTTCTCTAGTGAGAAGGGGCTTAAACTTTAAACCCCTTCTCTCTTTGCTCCCCCCCTAGTAGCTCATTAGCATACCTTATGCTAATGAGCTCCTGCAGCTCTTTTTCTACGAAATGACCCCTGCTTAGAGACGAAGACAAACAAACTACTCTGTGTGTGGCGAAATTTCTAGCAGCTGTTGTCAAATCACATGACAACTTTTGCAGTAGCAACCTTTAAATTCTTCTATGTTTTCCTGCGGAAAGAGGTTTATTGTGGGATGAGGGTTTGCTGATTATGACTCTGGCTGCAAAAACAGTAAAGACAATAAATAAGATGCCAAATTTGAAGTGGAAGGTGGTTCTACCACTCTGGTCTTATTTATTTTTCTCTATTTAAAACATTTATTAAGACACCATTTTCCCTTGCGGAACTCAAGGCAGCTTACAATTACAATGTAAATAAAACATTAAAAAAACACAATAAAAACAACAATTACAAACATCATAAAAGGTTCTCCTGTCCCCATTTTACAACCTCAGAACTCAAGAGCAGCGCACATTCTCACCTGCTTCCTCCCATCCATCTACAAACATAGCATGACTCAACTGATAGGAGTAACTGACTGCCTCTGGCAGAGACTCAAGTCAAGCGGGTGTTGGATGCAGCACCCCTTGACACAAGGGTGCATTTATTCATTTGCTAGTTATGAAATTTTAGTCATTTTGAAGCATATCTTATTCTCTAGTAGTGAAGTTGGGATATCTTTGGATACTTAAATCGGGTGACTAGAGCTGTGAACGGGCAAGACAGATCTTTCTACAAACCTGAAAGGGACCCATATTTGCAGGAAAAAAAATGTGAAATCTAACAAAAAATACACTGGGAGCTTTAAAAAAATGCAAACATGATAAAAGGAGCACCTGAAGTTTTAAGCAGCAGATTCCCTCAATGGCTGTTGCTAGGCAACCAGAGTATTCCAGGTTTAGTTCTGTTAGTAAAAGGCATGGGGAAGAGGCAGGGCCCTTTCCAGGCTATTTTGGCCTTTGAGGTAGAACTCATTAGGGCCAGGCCTAACCAGGGTTGCCCACTCTAGGAGAAGTTTCTGGAGAATTTGCGATGGAGTCTGGTGAGGGCAGGGTTTGGGAAGGGAAGAGGCCTCAGCTACATATTATGCCACAGAGTCCACCCTCTAAAGCAATCATTTTCTCCAGGGGGACAGATCTCTATTATCGGGAGTTCAGTTGTAATTCTGGGAAAGCCCCAGGTCCTACCTGGAAGATGGCAACCCAAGGCCTGGAGGCAACCTCTGGGTGACTTGATACATCTAATTTGCATGACTCAATTAGGCCTGGCTGCCTGCTACTGTTCAACAGCAGCCACCCTATGAAAGCCAGTGCGGTGTACTAGTTAGAGCTTCAGAGTAGGGTCTGGGAGACCCAGGTTCGAATCCCCATCTTGCTGTGGAAGCCCAACAGGAGATTTTGGATCAGTCACATGCTTTCAGACTAACCTACCCCCCTGGGTTGTTGTGCGGATAAAAAGGAGGAGAATACTTTAAGCTGTTTTGGTCCCCAATGTGGAGAAAAGTGGGGTATAAATGATGTAAATAAATAATATAGATGAAGATGGGAGGCAAATAAAAGGTAGGTTGGTGAATGGCCGAGAAGGAGAGAATGAAGCAGGTAAAGGGGAGAAGATATGGTGGTTGCTAGTGGGAAAGAAAGGGGAAACAGGGTGGGGAAAGTGAGGCACCTCCCCACAAGTCCTTGAGGGTTCCTACCATGGAAGTGGGACTGGCCTGGTGGCTGGCTCTACATAATTGGCTGCTGGGGGGGGGAGGGGCAGCTTAAGACAGAGGGGCAGATAAAGGTAGGCTGGCTTTGGGGTGGGAAGGACATAGGGTTGTCAACTCCAGGTTAGGAAATTCCTAGAGATTAGGGGGGTGGAGCCTAGGGAAGGTGGGGTTTGAGGAAGGGAGACCCCTCAGAGGGGTATGATGCCATAGACTCCATACTCCAAAGCAGTCGTTTCTTCCAGGAGAACAAGAATTGCCAACTTCCAGGTGAGGGCTAGAGATCACCAGGAATTACAACTGCTCTCCAGATGACAGAGATCAGTTTCCCTGGAGAAAATAGCTGCTTTGGAGGGAGGATTATATGGCATATCCTGCTGAGGTCGCTGCCCTTCCAAGGCTCCACCCCCAAATTTCCAGGAATTTCCCAACTTGGGACCTGGCAACCCGAAGCAGACCTGATATCTGTAGCTGGGAGATCCACTGATTCCTAGAGATGTCCCGATTGGCAACCCTAGCAGGAGAGAAGGAATCAGGAAAAGATGGAGGTTGTTAGGAGGCATGCAGGAGAAAATAATGTGGGGAGAAGCTAAAGAGGAAAATGAAGTATGCCTCCCACAAGTCCTTGCAGGTTCCCTTCTAATAGCTACCACAGGTTCTTTTCTGTGCCTACAGCAAGTGCATTGTTATAGGACTCATAAAGTAAAATTTCAAAGTTGGCATAAATATCAAGCTAAATCGTGGATTTTATTAGTGTTCTGCTTCATTTATAGAATTTACCTACATATACACACTTTGTTGTGGCTACAATGTCTGTGCTATAATGTCTGCGGTACAATAGCTCAAAACTGCACAGTACTTTTTGAAAACTAGATTCAACTCAGTTCTGAAATGCTTCAGCGACACAACAAACACTGTTGCTGAAGGTCTGGGAAGGGACAGACCAAGATAAGATATCTACATCCACGTTGCTTATGGGTGACATGAAATTCTTTACATGTGACATACAAACACATGTGTTTTCCAAGTTTAATGACAAATGAGCTAATAGGCTTATTCAGATATGGGCCTTTCAACCCATTGTAGTTTCGTAGCATACTGTAGCATTTAGATTTTGTGCAGATATTTTGTGTGAGATTTAAGCTTAGCTATATATGACTATGCCTAATGTGATCCGACATGTATACCAAATACACAATTAGGTGTATACAGCTATCATACTGAGCAAGCGCATAGAAAGTACAAGCAAACAAAACATGCATACTCCAGACTAAAATTTTGTTCCCCATATCTCTCCCCATTGCTTTGAGAAACATGTAACCGTAAGTCCTCAGCAGATGTGCAGTATGTATGCACACTGAGCAGGAGAGAGTGAGTGTAATGTAAAAATAACCAGAATGGGTTACAGGTGGCGGGATAGCCTCTGAAGACTGTCTGGAAGTTTCAGGTGGTATAAGAAGAAGAGGAGATTGGATTTATACCCCGCCCTTCACTACCTAAAGGAGTCTCAGAGCGGCTTACAAACTCCTTTCCCTTCCCCTCCCCACAACAGACACCCTGTGAGGTAGGTGGAGCTGAGAGAGCTCTAACAGAAACTGCTCTTTTTCAAAAACAGCTGTGCCAGAACTATGGCTTGCCCAAGGTCTTCCAGCAGGTGCAAGTGGAGGAGCAGGGAATCAAACCCGGTTGTCCCAGATTAGAGTCCGCGCACTTTACCACTACACCAAACTGGCTGGCAAAAAAACCACATCACTAAGGCTGCTGCTGAGGTTAGTTACCGAGACCATAATCTGCCTCGTCAGAAGAACTACACTGGCTCTCTAGGCCTCACACATATAATTAAAAGTGCTCATTACCTTTAAAGTCCTAAACAGCCAGGGAACTAGATACTTAGAGAGCTTCTTGTTCTCTTACTAACTTACCCAGTAATCTTCCTTTTAAAACCATATTTTATTTCCCAGACTGGGATTAGTAATGGGAGTTGCAAATTGTTTTCACTGTAATCAGTTCATCCCCCCCCCCCCCCCAACATGTGCACAGGGGCTTCAGACTCATTAAAATCACTAGCATACAGGGCTCTAGTCGGGGGGGAGCTCTCAGGTACGGAGCTCCGGAAGAGAACCTCTAGGGGGCGGGGCGGTCACGTGGTGAAGCCCCGCCCCCTTCTTTACCCCGCCCTCTGCTTCGATCCTCATTCCGTTTGGGAATGAGGATGAAGCAGGAGGGTAAGTAGCCGGGCCTTCTGACACACTTCCGGTGATGTCAGGGGTGTGTGGCTTTCTGTCACTTCCGGTGATGTCAGGGGGCGTGGCATATGCAAATAAGTTATGCTAATGAGTTATGCTAATGAGCTCTGGCAGCTCTTTTTCTACAACAAGACCCCTGCTAGCATATAAACTTTCGAAACTTCAAGAAAAAGTACTTTAGTGCTTATTTAGGTTTTTGATGCCCAACTAGAAGATCTCTTCTTGAAAATATCCTATTTCTGTCATGCAATAATATAAAGCAATTTAAAAGATAACAAACAAAAAGTTATACCTTCAGCAAGTCCCTCACAACACTGGTATGCCCAAAGTAGCATGCAAGATGAAGAGGAGTCCATCCCAAATTAGATTTACTTCTGCCTACAGGAAACAATATAAACATGATAAATGTAGGATATAGCAACCAAAGAGAACACTGAACGTTAAGCTGCATTCACCACTTGCCCAAAACATTCTTTTTATAAAAAGACAGGCATCAACTCAGTAATTCAACCAGGATGGCTAAGGCAAGGGTACCTCCATGGTTTGTACACATTCCCAGAAATAGCATTTTTCTTCTTGAGATAATGTTTTCATAATTGAGAATATTCTTAACTTCCTGGTCCAACTGGAAATGAGGAAGTTTGTGACAAAAGTAGTTGACTAAAAATCCAGACTTCAGGAACTCTTAATTTAAGCAAAAGTCTAATATAAAAAACTCCAGGAACAAGTAATCAATGGGACTAAGATATTGAGGAGAGGAGAAGAGTTCAGTGCCTTCTCTTATGCATTCCTTTGACTTTTAGACGCTCTCTGATTTTTATGCAAGTGGAGCAGACATATGAACTGTAGAACCAGTTTCTGGCCCTAATAGCTATTAGAGAAAGGCAGTTTAATTTTTGTGTTAGAGCAGCTAGGCAACATGTGCCTGAGGTGAGCAAACTCCTAAGCAGGCAGTACAGTAGTTTTTAGAAGATGCATGCTTCTATTGGAAAAAGACTTCCGTATGCTCATTTTTGTGCTTGCTTTTAAGATACTATTTTCCAGCAATACGTCCCTAAGACTTTGACTCTGGGCCTTACTGTAAAGCACGCAAGTACAAATAACAATGAGACAAAAAAATAAGACTATTCCGAATACCAAAATTCAAAGGAAATCATAACAATTTCTTAATGTAACCCATAAAATTGGGGGAAATGGAAGGGTTATCTATACCAACCTTTGCAGTTGATATTAAAAGCAACCTCTTTCTTCTTCAGGGTTTCCAACAGTTGCCGGATTTCTTCGGAGTTTCCATTTCTAGCACTATGGAGAAGATGTTGTTCTGCTTCTATATTCATCTCTGGTAACACATAAGTATGGTCTATTAGAGCTTAGATCTAATGAGCCAAGACTTGGATAGAATAATATCTTAATAGATTATATTAGCTGGGGCTCTGAAACCCATGCAGACATCCAAATGCTTCCACGTGAATACCGCAGCTTCCCCACTGTCCCTTGCTGACTGATTTTCTGTGCTTCTAAGGAAAGCTCTCTTGATGTTCTAAATGTCAGAAGTGCTTTCCTAGAAGCTAAACCCAGTGTTCCCTCTAAGCTGAGTTAGTGCGAGCTAGCTCAAAAGTTTTTAGCCTCCGGCTTGGACATTTTTGTCTTAGCTCAGGAAGGATGGCTCCAGAGCAAATTAATTTATGCAGTAGCGAAATCGTTCACTCACAACTTTAATGCCAGTAGCTCACAAAGTAGAATTTTTGCTCATGAAACTCCACAGCTTAGAGGCAGCATTGGCTAAGACATAAAAAGAGGTCCTCAGATGTTCTGGGGGCAGGGTATTCAAGAAACTTCATGCACAGCCCTTTGGGTCTCATTTAATGTGCAACTGCCAGTAAAATTACTGGTAATGCATCACACATTTTTACTTACTCTGCCCAGTCAAAACAGCAGCATTAAATTTATTTACTTCATTCAAACCCAGCCTTTCTCCCCAATGGTGATCAGAACCAGCTTACATTATTCTCCTCTCCTACATTTTATCCTTACAACAAACCTGTGCGGTAGGTTAAAATCTGAAAATGCGTGACTGGCCCAAAGTCACCCAGCAAGCTTCTATGGCAGAGAGGGGATTCAAACCTGAGTCTCCCAGATCCTAGTCGGACATTTTAACCACTCTACCACACTGGCTCTAATGTCTAGATCTAGTGTACAGATTAACTGCATTATAAAGGAGTTCACATAGCCTTATCAGATTGTTCCTGAGAAGAGGAGCAACAATCAGAGACTCTGGGACACATATCCTTAATTATTTCTCATTTGGAGGTTTGGCCTCAAATGTTGTTAATAAAAACATGTTGTCGCTGACGAAGGTGAACATGCCATCAAGTTGCCTCATCCACATGGTGTTCTAAGAAAGAGACAAGCAAAGATGGTTTGCCACTGTCTCTCTGTGCAGCAACCCTGGAATTCCTTGGTGGTCTCCCATCAAAGTATTGATCATGGCTGGCCCTGCTTAGCTCCCAAAAGGTAAGCTTGGGCTCAGCTGGACTATTCAGGCTGCTGCAAGTTAATCAGAAATGTTTCTTGCCCTGCTTAAACCATCACCCAGCTCCTCGGATGTCTAAGACACGTGCTGCAGGCCTAATATGTAAAAATTCAGAAAAGTTATTATTTCCATCCTCATTCCACTATAATTTTTTAGTAATCACACAGCCTAGATATTATTTGAGCAGGTTTGTCTAGGTATTATTTGCAGTTGTGGGGAAAATACATATGTACATTTCAGTAGTTGCCTGAAGTGAACTAGTAACATATTGACTTGAAATCCCCTGGAGCTACACAGCATTTTACTCAGGTTTAATCCCATTCTGTAATACGCCAGCCTCCATGTGGAACACAGGGATCCCCTAAAATTACAGCTCATCTCCAGACTACTGAGGTCAGTTCTGCTGGAGAAAATGGATCCTTTGGAGGGTGAGCTCTACGGCACTGTACCCCACGGAGGCGCCAGGCTCCATCCACAAATCCCCAGGAGTTTCCTAACCTGAATCTAGCAACCCTACCGCCATGCCCCACTGGTGGCCAAGAGGGTCCTGGCAACCCTATCCTGTAAGCAGCCTCACTAGTGCAAGAGAAGCTCAGGAGCACCTAAAATATTGCTAAATTCAAAACTATTATTGTAACACTCGACTCATTCAAACCATCTATTCTCCCACCATCACACATCCCTCTCACATGCTCGCAAGAATTTACTACAGATCAGCATATTTCCTAATACGAGCACTTTGGTAAGTGCAGGAAAACTGGTGTACATCTAATCTCAAAATGCTTGAGACAGAACAGCTATGCTAAGCAGCAGGAAAAAGTAGGGTGCAAGTTAAAAATATATAGACAAGAGCAAGGAACTCACCAAAAATATAATGCATAAGGCATCCTAAGAAATCAGTTGACATATTCTAAAAAATGTACTTCAGCTAGTAGTAAAGGTAAAGGTTTTCCTTGCTATAGTAGAGCAGCCAGCTCTATGGGGATTCCTTTGACACCAAATTAAAAGGACACCATTTCTCAAACTATCTGAACTCTGACCCCCCCCAATCTATTTAAGTTTACATCTAGAATTTAGATTTCCCCCAGCCCCATGTGCTGCAGCCCCCACCCCACTTGCAAAAAGACCCTTTAAAAAGACCCTTTAAAAGACCCTCCAGCTGGTCGGCAGGCCATGTGGTCCCCGCTGATCAGCTGAAGCCCTTTAAATCGGGCAGGAGGGGAGGGAGAGGGGTGGGTGATTGCTCTTGGGGGTGGGGCTCCCCCTGCCAGGGCGACGAAAAGACCTGCAACCCTACCTTTAGGGTCCACTCAATCAAGCAAGCAATTACACAGAGAACCTTGCACGCAGTACAGCATGTGCACCTTGTGGCTATACATGCATGACTGTGGACTGAGGGATACAAAAGATAAGATCTGTCTTCCCCTCACTTGCCCTTTCATAACTCTAAGTACATTCACTCAAACACTGTATAGAACTCTGTTCCTTTGGTCACAAGGATCTATCACAAAGCAAGGAGTAGGAAGGTGGGTGACTGGCCTCAATTGTACCATCTGGGACACACAGAGAAAAGTCAGAAATATTTCTAACCATAAGGCCGTGTTTCTTATGGAGCCCAGTGGCAAGCTAGAGGATAGAAATCCAAAATACTTGATGGAAGGGGTGGGAGGAAAAAGATTGACTAGGAAGTACGAAGGTGTTATATCCAAAGATCACCTTCAGAATCTACCAGACGTTTCTTATATATTGTTCTAAAGTACTTCACCACATTGACTGGTTTATCTTTAAAGCTGGCAGTTCAAGATTTCTGCATAATCAAGGTCACAGTGGCTGTTCAGCCATCATACTTCTAGAAAACAGTTTATTTATTGAATTTATATCCCTGCTCTCCCTGCAAGAAGGCTCAGGGCAGGTTACATCAATCTCAATACAATACAATTCAATAAAAAACTTTAAAATAACAATTTTAAAAAGTACAGAAGCATAAAATACCATGTAAAATAAATTAGATCAGATTTCACATTTATCTATTAAATGGCAACAGTTGTTTCATTCTGCAGCATTAAGGCACAGGATTTGTATAATTATACAAGCAACAAAGCACAAAATGGAGCAAATTCTGGGCTATTATTTTCAGGATTTCTTTTCCTGAAATGTAAAAACAGATTTACTTGAAGTTTTATATTTGCATTTCCTTCCTTCACACAGGTCTCAGAGATGTGTCAGTTCTGTTTTACTGCCTCACATTGAGTGACCACCACGCTGACTAAATGGGGCAGGTGAACATTTTGTATCCCTTATTTTTGCTTCAACTCTGCACTGTCATCTTTGAATGTCTGTCATTCTTTTACTGGAAACTCACCTCTGGACATTTCGTGAGTGTAGTAATATCACAGAAACCTCTTTGTATAAATGTAAGCTCCTTATAAATTTGCATTTTGTAAAAACAGGGAAAGGGCCTAGAATGAAAAATAATAATCTGAAACCAAAATGCAACTGAAAAATTGGTCCCATTCATTTCCGCATCCAGCAAAACACACCATGTATCTAGACTCCCACTGTCTCATATTTAGGCTGGAGAATGATTTAAGAAAGAAGCTGGAGATGGTGTGTGGAATTTCTAAAAGTTAACACAAATTTCTCAGATTAATTATTCAGCAAATGCAAGTGCTAAATCTGGCAAGGGGGGTCTCATGGTACTATTGCTCAAATAATCAGTATTTGAAAATATTATACAGACATTTCTCCATCCTCTTAGAGATTGTATAACACTAGACAGATGATAAAAGATCCCTGCTTGATGTGAGACCCTACAGTATACTAAAACACCTTAGCTAGTAGTAATTTTGTTTGCCCAGTGTGCCTTTACTTCTTCTAGAACAATGGTTCCCAAATGTTTTGGGGCCGCTGCCACCTTGGTTCCATAAACCCATCTCCAGTGCTCCCTACCCTATAAAAAGCATTACTCAGAACAATGGTTTGCTCAGAACTAAGGAAGACAATAACAGAAACAGGTACAATTAATTGCATTTATTCAAACTCCAACTATTTATTCAACAAAATTAGTGAATGATACTGTAATACCAGCTTTTCGAAGTCTGATAGTCATTTAGCAAGAATCTTAGATGCCACATTTAGGCTGCGGTCACACGGAACATTAGCCACGCTAGAGAGACGGAAGTCAGGCGGAGTTTCCGGGCGCGATCTCACCGGCACATCTGGGAAGCGTAGCGCTTCCGTGGCTCAACCGAGGCTTCCCGCCGAAACCACGCTGCAAAAAACTAGTACCTCGGAGGTACTAGTTTCCGGAAACTGCGGGGCAAGGGCGGGCATCTGATCCCGTTTCCGGTGGCATCCGGCGCCTGCCCATGTCCCCTTGCAAACAAGATGTTTTTTTCCCCAAGTCTCCGTGGATGCGCACAAGCACCCAATGAAGCATGCGCATTTTTGGTGTACACGACAAAAAAACCCACCCGTTTGCCGCACCGTGCGCTTCTTTGTTGCCCGCAGGATCGTCCTGTGATCAGCACCTCTCCCTTCCCACGGAACCTCCACGGGACCTCCACGGAACCTCCAGGGGAGGTCTGATCGAGTAACTACGCGTTAGTTTGCCCCGTGGCAAACAGTCACGCTTCCCCCCCGTATTTTCCTGCCCGTGTGACTGCAGCCTTAGTAACTCCTTCACTATTCAGTAAATTCTTAAAGTGATAGATGGGCTTGATCATACCAGTTTCCCAACATCTGGTTTAAAGTAACTTAGTGGGAGTCTTAAATCACCATGTTTAGTAATTGAAAGTCGGTTTCGT